CCCGCCCCCCAACCCACAAATAACTTGGATATTAAAACGCAGCCTGATGAGGAGCATCCAAGCAAGGTGAATTTGCAGCTGTTGGTTGTTGCGTATTCTCTCTGTGTAGCATTTGTCATGGGCAGAACAGGAGGAAAAGTGAGTGGTCCTGAGCGGAAGAGCTGAGGCCAAGCACTAGCGTAACTTGCCCTGTGTTGCTCAGTAGTGCAGAGAATTAGTTCTGAAGTTAATATTCATGCTGCCTATTTTAAGATGCTCATTGAAAAGGACAAATATAAATGTTTTAAAAAAACACACACCATTTTGTATGTTCCTCATAGGAAAGTACAGGCTTTTTTTTTTTTTTAAATTTTCTAAATTGAATTTGGGGATTACAATCCAGCTAAAACACATCTTTTTTTTTGTGGTAGCCTGCACCAAAAAAGAATATATTAAGAGTTGCCTTTTTTTCATTCCCAAATGAGACCATGGTTGTGTAGATTCTTAGTAGTCTGTGCAAATTTGTACTTATTTATTGAATGGCATTCATGTGGGTATATGTTTAAGCATTATGGAAAGTGATTCTAACCATTGACATTATATGGTTTCTTATCAATGCCTCAGCTTTTAGGTATACACTTGTAACTTAAAAATTAATTTCTGCAAAGTGATAAGGGGATACGAATATCAAATTATTTTCTTGCATTGGTGACCGAAACAGAAAAACAACCTAATTGGAGCTTGGTTAATAGTTGCAATACCATCCAGGTTGAGTGTTTTATTGTGTTGACTCAGCATGATTAAACAAGAATACAGAGTTGTAAAGTTTCTTTTGTTGGTAAAGCAAACAACATGACTGAATATGACATGAAAACATACTTTTCTTAGTCACATTGAGGATCATCACCTAATCTTGAAAACTTTGATTATTCCATTACATTCTTTGTGCTTATGTTTAATAATCTGTTAAAGAATAAAGCTGGTTTAGCTTGTCATGTTGATTCAGAAACATTACACTTAATACGTCCTACATCTGTACATGTCTAGCAGTCACTTATCATGTGTTTCAAAACTAGCCAGAGGAAACCTTGCACTTGTGGAAGACTGCGCCTCACAGGGACGAAGGGTTTCTGTTCATTATACAAGTATTTGTTTGATGCTCTGATGAAAAATGATGTGTCCAGGATTCCCCATTCCAGTGTTGGCTGCTACTGCTCCTTTGGGAGCAGAGGTTTTGTCCTTAGGAGCAGTAGGAGGGTTTTTATTTAAAATAGGAAGTATATATATTTTGGGTTTCTGTAAATGAAGGAATTCTAAAGATTTTTGGAATGATGCAGGAACACTTTTAGCTTTATAAATATTTTATTTCCATAGACAGAGTATCCTTCTGTGTCTTCCCAATTTTAAAAGTTATTTGCATTCATAACAGTGTAATATGCTAGTAAAGCAAAAGGACTAGCATAAAACCAAAATTTAAAAAGTATTTATGACCAATTCCCTCTAATATGTATATGCCTGAAAGATCAGAATGTGTTATTCTCAGGCCTGTTAGCCTAGGAAGTTGAATGCAGTATGTTAAGTGTGCTGTACTAGCGTGGTAAGTGCCATAGTGCGTGTTACAGCTTGCCTTTGAGAGGCAGCTTTAGCAGTAGCAGCTTTTGGTTGTGTGCTGATCCTGGAATCCAGTACACATTAGCAACTGCTGAGAAATTATCGGCGTACTAATTTAAATGGAAAGAAGTTTGCAGTAAGATCTGAAATGTACTACAGCAGTGTGTGATTTGAGGAAGAGGGGAGAGGAAGCTTGGTAAAATAGAAAATGGTGGATAGCGAACAAATGTTCTGCCTTTTGAAATAAGTGGAACACCACAGAAAACTTGCTGCAGTACACGACTGTGTTTTAAGGCTCAGTTAATACAGACATCACCCAGTATGCCTCATCTCTATGGGAGAAAATGGAAGCTTTAAAATTTCAGAGTTGAATGTTCACCTTGATTGCAAAACTACATCATCAAGGTAATTGAAAAAACAGGTTTTTTGAGACAATTACCAGTGAACATATAAAAATATGGATCCTCTATATTCCAGAACTCTTACCTTCTGGCTCCAAAAGTATTGAAGAATTTTTTGTTCTTCCTTGTGGGAAGCCACAGCCAGTGGTCTCCAGATCTTGTCTAAGTTATCTTCAGGCAAACCTACATGCAGTGTAAGAAAGTCGAGGCTGGTGGGACAGCAATCCTGGTGCTCTCTGTAGTTAGGATGGAGTGCTGCATGCTGTCAGCTTCCATTCTGGAAATGTTCTATTCCCAGCTCTGTGCTGACAGATTGTAGGACCAACAGCATGGTGTTTAACCCCCTCTCTCAAAGAAAAGAGAAAAACTATGTGATGAACAATGAGAAAGTAGACTATAATAAATGCTATTTTATGAACACACTCAAGTCTACTGTTGAGAAATTCTATGGAAAGACATTACTTGTAATTTATATGGAAATATGTGATTCAGGATACTGAGCTAAGTAACATTTAAGGGAAAGTGTGAATATGTGCAGAAAAATACTAGCTTCCCCCCTTAGAAGTGTGTTACTGTTGCTGCTGTGTTATGCTCTCCTCTGATTGTTTCAGTCAGAAAAGACAGACTTTCAGGATTATCCTCCTAGATGACAAAAAACCCTTTTCAAACTTTTTTCCTGACTTTGTAAGCATCTCCTCCCCTCCCCATGCATTTCTAGCACACGACAGTCCTCACTTGTGTTTTGTGAGCTTTCCCCACAGCTTTTGTCATCTGAAGCAACCTGCCTGTGAGTCTGTCCTGTCAGTCATCAGATCTCCTTTGATCACATTTCTTCTTGTTTCTTGTATGTCCCTGCTTATTTCAATTGAATTTTATGTTGATCCTGCCTCATTTTGTGAAGTGTTTTTTAGCATATTTGCTATGAAAGGTGTTCAACAAAAAACTGCGGTAAAGGACTGCAAATATGGTTTTTAAGTACTGGCAGGATTTTGCAGTTGGCTGACAAAGGGAAAGATGGCTGAAAAGCAGAAATGTCAGCAGTGGCCATTGAAATGTAAACAAAATGCTTAATGTGACCTTTCTGGTGAGTGTTTGGGTGTCTTTTTCTTTCTCCCCTTCTCAGCCGTGTACACATCACTGAAGCAACATTAAATCACCTGGGCAAAGCTTATGAAGTAGAAGAAGGAAATGGACACCTGAGGGATCCTTACCTTGAATCCATGAATATCAAAACCTACTTAGTGGTTGATCCAAGGGTATGTGCATGTTTTTAAACATGTATATTAATCAAATATATACATAAATTTTAAGCACACAGGTGTCTGTGGTGCACACACCTTTTAAATCAGGAACAGAATTAAAGCATGGTATGAGCCCTCTGAGTAGTCTAGATTTGGAACTTCAGATCTGAAAGCACATCCTAGTGTTTTATGACATTTCTGTTAGCTTGAAGGTAATAAGTGTTATGCTGAAACTCCTTAGTAGTCCACTTAGAGTAAAAATACATATTTGATTATGTATTTGTTTGAAGTGTGTCTCGCACAAATCCAGGTCAGAAGGTGGGATGAAGTCATGAAAGAATATCTGTACTGTGTGGCCACTTTCAGCTAAAATATTCTCTGTAAAATAGCTTCTGATATCTTCTTCCTCACTATTTTAGATGTGAGATTCACCTTTTCAAGGTATAAAGTTAGCAACTGTTGGTTGCCCCCTCAGAGCCTGGTAACTTCAAACACCTGGAGTATTGCTATTTCGAACTGACTTGTGGTTGATAGGTAAAATATTTCAAAAGAAAAAAAATGAAAATGACAAACATTTCCTTCAGAATCTTTAAAGGAAGGAACAGTATCGAGCCACTTTTAATTAGCAAGGACTTAATTTTTTCTTTGTTGCACGTTTTGTGTAGTAAACACTGCAACACCCCCTACATGTACATAGCACATATTCTCAGAACCAGGATCTAAGTCTATTAAAATGGTCCCTGCTCATTTGAAGATACCTGTGAAATGGTAGAAAATAACCAGTCATTGATGTATTGGTTTATTCTGTAGTTTTAGCTGCCTTGTAGACCCACGGGGTATTGCTCTATACCGTGTATATACTACCTGACTCTTCACATGTGATGTAGGGATCTAATCTAATGTTGAGACTGTAACTTGTGGGTTCTTTTCCTAACCACTGGTTTGATACGCCCTAGCCCAGGAATTGGGAAACTTTTTCCCCTGCTGTTGTGCTGACTGTAAGGAAATGGTATCTGTTCATAAGATCCTGTGATCTTTCACATCATCATAAATAAACCAGGAAGTTTGAATGTTGTAGTGTTACAAGGAAAGGCTTGTAAAGGCAGCTACAGCAAATTTATTATGTCATGATTTGCTTTAGCTCACATTAATTAAATGAGATAAAGGAATTGAGGTTGTCTGGCACATTGCTGATAGTCATTTAGAGTCCTACTAAATAGCTAGATTGTATAGTGCTAAACCACTCAGGTGCTTAATTTCATAGTACTTTGTATAATTTTCTGTTTCTAAATAAGTGTGTTTTTTCTCTTAGTCCAAACAATGCATATCAAATAATCATCTCCCTAAAACAAGAGTTAATGATGGGCTGAAGATGCGAGCATCCGTTCGGATGACACGTTATTTAGAGTCCTGGGGAGCAGCCAGGCCCTTTGCCCACCTGAACCACAGAGAAAGTGTGAGCAGTGACTCTTCAAGTTCACAAGGAAGGCGAAGAAAGGTGAGGTTTGAAGTAGTGATTGTTATCCTATAATTGCAAACAGAAAATAATGGGGTTTTGTGGCTGAATTTCTGCTGTTACTCTTGGTGTCAAATGTGTACATAGAACTAAGAAGGTATCTGTGCAAGAAAATATTGCTGGAAAGGGTTGATTCTGTAAGCCTTTCCATGAGAATGGTTCTTGATTTTTATTTGTGAATAAAAATGTTTTTGGCAGCTTCCTGAGGTTTAATCTCAATAGTTGTTCACCATTTACTGAGTGTGTAACTTACTCTGAATTCCTTATTTGATTTAGGAAATACCTTTGTGTTCCACTGGGCGCCAGAGAACTTCTGATAGGTTTGTCAAGTACTTTCTTTTTTTAAAATACGTAATCATGTGCTTCTCTTGCAATTCAGTGTACTGTAAGCATGTGATCTTTTGGTTGATTAATCACTCTGTGTGTGGTATTCCTGCACTAGAATGATTAAGCTAGATCTTTGGCCTTTAAAAGACTACTCAACTCACATTTGTTGTGAGCAGACTAAAAGGAGTTTCCCTACCTTGGTCTTACTGGCCCCTCAGTCATTCAGGCTGTATTTTGTTTTATGGGCTGTAGCAGGATAGAAGGGAGTAGGGAAGTAAGAGACCTAAGGAGTGATGGAAAACAAGTCAAAGCAACTCATATATTGTATACATGCATATATTTTAACTGCTTGTGCTAACTCAGCTTTTAGTTTTCTCACTTATAGATGCTAGATTTGTTTGTAAGTATTATAGTACAAAATAAATACAGCTTAACATATTTAACAAGTTATGTCTTTGGTTAGTAGCATTAATGTGTGCTATTGTTGTGTAATGAAGAATTGGCATATGTAGAATTGCTTCAATGGTACCTGTGTCACTGAGTTAACCAAGTAGATGATTTTAGCTTATGAAGCATTCTCCTAGTTTATCAAAATATTGTCTTAAAGAATGCATGATTTGAGTAACTAGAGAAATGCTTAGTGAAGTGCTGGTGGATGTATACATTTGTCAGTTTGGGGCATTCTTGTTTAGCTTTTCCTTGATAGCTTACCCAATTGCGTACTGAGGAAGGGCGGTCCTCTGTAGCCATTCATTGTTTCTGAATAGCATTTGTGACGTGGACTTCATTTCATTCTCAGAAATTCATCCCAGAAGGGAAGGATAGAGGAAGATATTTATGATGAAATGATGTCAACCATTGAGGGCCTCAGTTCAACTAAGTATGCAGTATTTTATTTTTTTCTTCACCTTTTCTTTGAGAATAACCTGCATTCTCAATTTTAAGTCTAGATATAAAATTTGCTTCTCGAAAATTAAAAGTTACCGGGATTTTTGTCTTGTCTTTTTTTGGTCTTTGTTTGTTTTTTTACTTATTTTAATTCCTTGGTTTTAATTTGAATATAATGAGTATTACTGCATTATTATAGCAGGAAGCCAATGGTTAGTCTAGCTGTTCAATGTAGTATAGCACTATGAAATAGCAAAATTATTGCTTTGTTTCTTATGACTGTCTGAAGTAATGAGCTGAACTGGGATAGGAAGTTAATGTTTGTGTTCTGTTTATTAAAATAAGATGTGTCAGGAAATGGCATGCAATCCTGATCAAAACCTGAGTATAAAGTCGAAACACAGTTTTGGATGTAGTAATAAAATTGCTTTAGTGTCTGGTTCGCTGAAGGTAAAATGGTCTAGCAGTAGCAGGTGGTGCATTTGGCACTATATTTGCATTTGAAAACACACAAACACAGCCAACTTGTTGGTTGTTTTTTAAAAACACAGTATTTAAGTCCTATCAAATGTAAACCAGTGAATTTAGGGAAAAAACCTCTTTCTGTCATCTAAGCTATAGCAAGGCTGTTATCACTGTACCTCAGCTATTCCTAATAGGTACCTGATATTATTTAGGAGAAGTCTTTTGAGGCTGTGAGCCCTTGCTAACATCTGCTATTACACTTTATTATTTTTAAACTTTAGTGAAGGTCTGGGGTTATATTTTACTTGTAACTGGCAGACGCTGCTGTCTGTGAGAGTGTTCTGGATCTGCCTGTCAGCTATATAAAACTGTAACTGCTTATGTTATACTATGAAACATAAAGACCTTGCAGAGCTGTCAAATGTGTGTGAAACACTGGCACGTCCGCACTGTAAACTGTTGAGTCTCAACTATGGCAATGCTTTTGCATACTCTCCTTGGCCTGTTGCAGACCTTTTGTAACATGTGTTTCTGAATGCAGTCCGTGGTGTGGCAAATCAGATGACTTCTGTGGATTTTCACTGATTTTTGCAGAACCTGGTCTTGAAAAAGAGGTTGGTAAAAGCAAAATAATCCTTTCTGGTTTTGATTGGCACTTCAGAGCAGCTTAAGAATGTATTTGAAACTATCTGTTTTCATTCTGAAATTGGATTCTGGAGGTGACTGCACATCCAGAGAGGTTTTTGGTAACTAACGGAAAGCAGATCTCCTGATTTGAGTGGGTCATTCTTCCTTGAGAATGATAATTCTGTAGATTAAAAGAGATTGTCTCTAATCTGTGGTTAAATTCTTGCTATAGCTGGTAGGAGTTTGGCAACTTTACTTTTGAGAATACTTCGTATAGTAATGAGATTTATAAAAAAAAGTATTTCTGCATCCATAAGGGAAATGCTTTCTGCAGTTGTTTCAATCCAAGTATAATACTGTTATTTGTTAGGTACAGTGTAATTTTTCTGTTTGAATAACTGTTCTTACTGCGCTGTGGTGTACTGTGTGTAGTTACTGCGGAGGGGGTGTATGTATACGCTTTAGGTTTACTTCTGTGTATAGCCTTTATTCATAAAGATTTTGGCTGTGCACCTGTGAAGTGCTGATTTACATACTCAGTGGATTTCCCTCTGAAATCCTTCGGAGTTTCCCTCTGAAATTATCCTTTGGACTGGGCTATTTTTCTTGACAGATGTTCAAGTGAATTTTATTTGGTGGTTTTCTTTTGTTCGCTTTTAGTTCTACATATATTTTTAATAGTAGAGTATAAATTTAACTATATGTGTCATCTCAAAAATGTAATGAATTAAAAAAACCCCCTGGAATTATTCTTAAATTTTATTATAATCTGTGTTTCAGTATCGCACCATTCCTATTCTAAAACTGAAGAGTTACTTCACATGTGCCAGTTTTGTGTTCCTCTGTATATTTCTGGTACAGATGTTTATAATGCCAAAGTAAGTGTCAATATTTTAATAATTTATAATTCAAATTAACCAACAGCTAAAGTAAAACTCATGTGCATGAAACTTCTTAGTCTTTTGCAGTTCCTGAGGGTTTACATTTAAGAAACGTACACCTCTTAGGACTAATTTACCCCTTAATAAAGGAGTGCATTCACGTTGTTGGTATGAGAGCCTAGATATCAGTATGGAAATAAAGTAGAAATACTTCTTTAATATTGCGTTACCTTAGTACACACAGGGAGATGTTCAGTTAAGTGAGAAATACTATTTTATAGGAATAGTTGGCTGTAAGCATGGAGTGAGCAATAGAAAAATGGGATTAGCTGGTTAAAATGTGCTCAGTGATCCTTTGTCTGTAGAGATTCAAGGAGGAAACTTTGAGCTTGTTCTCATACTTCCAAGAAAGCAGATGTTTGATAATTCTGAAGTTTATGGCCTATTTGTTTTTCATGGCTGTTGCAGTGCAATTTCCATGTGGTTTATGCATGGGGTAGTGGTTCAGGCTGTCAGTGAGGAGTAGAGTATCTTAAAGTAGTATTTGTGCAACAGAGCAACAATAACCTGTGCAATGTTATGGCCATCCAGTGCTATTAGAAGAAAAACTATATTTAAATTTAGAGAACCACTGTTAGCACACATTAGTCTGAATTATGGTTTGAAAATTTTTTTCATTTAACACTGGTTTGTTTAATGCTTTCTCTCCTGTTTAGAACTGCAAAACTAGGAATTTCCTTTGGCATTGTTGCAGTCATCATTGTACTTATTTTGCTTGTGTGCTTTGCTGATAAGTTTATGGTAAGTTTATATAAATAAAAAGCTTCCTTTTTCAAAAGTGGATGAATATAATTTGACAACTTGGTTGATCTTTTAGGATGATGAGTTAAGCTGTTAATTTCAGGAGGAGTTACAGGAGCCTTAAACCTCATCTTACCAGAAAATTTAATTGCCTGAAATAGATTTTAATGTCTGAAAATCCTCACTGTAATTCAGAATTATTTGGATGCCAGAATAGATGGGTAGGGGGGAGTAGGAAGATACTAAGACTTGCTAAGTGAGGTTGGGGTTTTTTTAATTTATTTTTATGTTTGTCCTTAAAAGTAATTTTGGTTGTAAACCCTGATATTTCCTATACTGGAAACAATATTAAAAGCAAGATAAGTTTGAATGCAAGGTTAGTTTTCATAATTGTTTATAAAGTCAGATGAAAATTACAAACATATGAATAATTTATCAACAACAATTTCATAACTGTTAGAATTCCAAACACACCATTACATCAGTTAGGACACATTACATATGCAGGTCCATTTTCTTTGCATTATTAAGTGTGTGCAATTACTGTTAAAAAAAATAGAGTGACATAGAGTTCAATGATTAAAAAAAAAAAAATCCTTCTCCAGTCCCAGAACTGTCTGGAGGCAGGAGTGGGAGAGGGAAGGGATTTAAGAGAGTTTCTTACACTCACCAAATTTATGTTGTACCAGACCAAGGGTGAGAGGGGATTTGGAAGCTCTGTTGAGAACATGGCATCATTATCCCATTGCAAGCGTGGTCATGGTGGTCTTACTGGAAAACTGCCACAGGAAGAAATGTCTCTTACAGAGCCAGCTTCAAATTGTGTAAAAGGGGAAAAAAAAAAAAAATTGCACTCTGTACATGGAATAAAGTCTTATGATTAATTTAAAAGTACAGTTAGGTAGCATGTATGGATTTTATGTTTGTATGGTGTTTCTATATATATGAGTGGATAGATTTTTGTATATTTTTATATATGTGTGTCTACGTAGAGGGAAAGAGGTGTGTGTATATGTATGCACGCATGGTTTCTACATTTGTAAAAACACATGCAGAAAAGAAAAAGAAAATTCCAAGATTGCATTGAACTTTATGCTGGGAGTGTTTTGGTATAGTATTCTTGAATAGTGCTTCCCATCATTAAAAGTATATGCTTTACTAGGTATTTTTCTCTACAGCAAGAAATGGAGGATATAAGGGTGGCAAGAAATAGGACTGTGATTGATTTCAGTTTAGTAATCTGAAAGTGTACTATATTATAGCTCTGTGATTAAAAAGTACGACATAGGTTATCACTATATTTTTAGTAACGATCAATCAGATCATTTTGTATTTCTAAAGCAGAAATTCCGAAAATGTTAGCACTCAGCCCCTTTGAAATAAGGAAGCATTATCTCTATTTTCAGTTGTGGAAAGACATTAGGTGTTTAATCTGAATGACTAGATTCAGAGTTCTACAGTAGGATTTCAATGACGACTCTTGACACTCCTGCAGAGAAAAAGTATTTTATATTTAGAGATATTTCTTCCCATGTATCAAAGTGTTATCCCTGTTACTGAAATAAACTAATTTTGTTTACAGAAGTGTTGCTCAGAACAGTGGCCTTTCCTACGTCATCTTTGTGTTATCTCAGAAAAGGTGGAAACAATGCCTTTACTTAGGCTTCCTTTAGCAGTCATCACTATAGGTGCCTTGCTGGTTATAGCCATTTTTAATTTGGTAAGTGTCATTGCATTATCTTCATTCTGTGAACTTACTGTAACATTGACAGTTTAAGTAACTTCCTTTATTCTTTTTGTCAATACTGTGCTTTTTGCTGCTTTTTCTAATGTCTGATTCACGAGTTGATTTATGCAAGGATAATGCATGGTGTCATGTAAAAGCATTAAAAGTAAAAACTCCCAGTCCGTAGAACTAAAAGTACATGTGATAGACTTGAGTTCTAGTTTACACCATCTTTCCTTGCTTTCAAGTTGGCATTTATAATTACTTTGGACTGTAGTCCTCATCACTAAGATGGTCTTCCTTTTTTCTTAATGCAAGTTTAAATGTTTGGCTGTAGCAGGTAGAAGTTATTAAGCAGTTTGTTGCGCTGTTTGCACTAGCCAGTAATAGTGCAGATGGAGAAAGGGTGGATATAGCTTGGCTCTCTTCTAAAGCCTAAGACGTTGAGGGTAGTTACTGCTAGACTAAGATGCAAATGGTGTCCGTCTTTTAACTTTAGTTTGAGTGTTGTATTGCACCTGGAGTACATACATCTGCAAATAGCTCTGTGGAATAACCTCATGCTCAAGGCCACTGTGCTGTAGCTTTATGTGACTCATGATGTTAACAGTTAAAACTGTCTGATAGCTAGCTACTAAAAGTGATGTCCTTCTGATTCCACATGCTTGGTCTGCCATTATTCTGATTCCACAGGGAGTTTATTCTGAAAGCTATACTGCGGAAGGTGTTAATTTTTCTTTTGTAGGGTTCTTTTTTTGAATTGACTCTCAGTGGTGTCATATGAACACCACCAGAGACAGCCTAAAGAAGGAGGAACAGCAGCTGTTAAACTGAGGGTGAGACAGAACCACGTTAGCTGTTAGATTAATATAGCCATAATATGCAACTTTACCCAAAATTTAAAAGTAAGTGAGGAAATACTTGACAGTTTTAACCCTTTTGCACCTTGTGTGTGCATGTATGTTTCATACACCTATATGGCATATCATTGTATTTCAACATTTATATTGCAGTAGCACTGAAAGGGCAACTAGGTCAGGATTCATTGTATACTATATGGAGAAAAAACTTAAAATTTTAGTGACTACATGCTAACAAGTTTCTATGGTGGTTTTGTTGTTGGGTTTTTTTTCCCCAATATATCAAGACTACTGAAAAGAACAAACCTGCAAACTTTACTGGATCTAATGACCTGTGTGCTACCACCTATGTGAGTACTGTCTTAATTTCTAAGATTAAAATGAAGTGAGTCATGGATGGCAGCAGTTTGATATCTTTTTTTATAAAGATAGGATATTTAAATCATTGAACACAAAGACTTGCTCGTGCCACCAGGCAGTTCTAGGGATATTTTCTATCATTAGCTATGGATTTACTGTGCCTCTTCTAGGGATTTTGAAAAGTCTGGAGTACTTGTGGATAAAGCTGAAGTCTTGGCTTATTTTGGTTACTCAGCACCTTTGATGGGTGTTCTCTAGCATTTCTGTAAGGATAGATTCAGCATTTAGTAATGACATAAAAGGATTATTTGGGAGAGTTTCATTTTTTATTTTTTAATCCCAAAGTAGCATTCTGTTTTGAGATCATCCAAATGTTTGGGATGCTCTTTTGTCACCTGGCCACCCCTTTAGATGATGGACATGTTTTTGAACAGTGCACAGCAGGTTGTGTGAGGACCCTTTCATTCAAGTCCTTATGGCAAACAATGTTACGTGTATATATATAATGCACTTTGTACTCATCTGGTAATTTTCTGTTCTTGCATGTCTGTAAATCAGCCTTTTGGAAACACAACTCAATCCTGCATTGAAGAAACTGTAAGTAGTGAATACATGTTACTTTAAAACCCAGATCTTTGAATTTTGTATATAATACTGACAACTGGCAGGTTCTGCTGCTGTATAAAACACATCTTTTTTAAAGTATCTGACAGCAGAAAAGTTATTAATCAAATCAAGATGTTTCATGTGCTGTTGCTGTGCTGCATGATGTATGGCATTGTAATTTTTTGACATTTCAGACTTAAAAGTAGATCTAAAACTCTGAGGAGAAAGCAGAACAGGATAATGATTGTGTTTGAGAAATGAAAGGTGTACTTGCCAGTGTCCTAGTAAAGTATCTTGAAAGAGTGAAAGGGTTTAAATGGCCAACAGACCTGTGTCAGTGTTCTCTACATAGTGGTTTCTTTTTCAGAGGTTTGGCTTCAGGGCTGTAACTATGAGTGTTGGTTTGGAGGTTAGACTCCAAGCAGTTAGGAGGACGGAGCTGGTATAGTTACTATATGTTACTATAATAACTATATGTACCTGTAGTTCCTATATGTTACTATATGGGCTCTGATCCCGAGTTGCCCCATAAATTGTTCTGGTTTCACTCACTTCAGTTAGAAATGTTAACTGTTAGCTAATCTCCCCGATCTTTGTTAGGTCTATGCTATTATGGGTGAAAAACTGTGCTTTGTACATAAAGAAACTCTTGAGGAGCAGAAGCTGAGGTAATTTTGGAGTTGCTTGTAGTCTAGAGTATGCTAGCTCAGCGTCTTAGACCTCTGTGGGTGTCTGCAGGGAGCGATCCTGTCTGCGCAATGCACTTTGTACCACCTGACAGTTTTAATGCTCCCAGCTGCATGCTGACCTCTCCTGACACCTCTCCTGACCTGCGATTCCTTGGGGAATTTTTTCAGTAATTCCACTAGGTAATGGCCCTATCTTGATAATGGTTATTAGCATCAAAGTTCTTATGAAGCAGCTGTGTCTAAGGTAGAATAACAGGTCACAGTCGTCACATGTTACAGGTGGGGGAGATGGAAATGTAGTATCTGCTTAAGGTTACACTGTCAGAAAGAGGTCAGAAATAGGGCCAGAATGCTGGAGTTCCTGGTTCAGAGCCTGTTCACTGGACTGTGATCTACTTTAGGTTAGTCTTGAACTTTAAATAATAATTGCTTGAATTAATAGCCTTCAGAAGATAAATTCTCAACACTTTATTTTTAATCTGACACTGCTTATGTAGGTGTGATGGTTTTTGTTTGTCTTCAAAAAATTTAAAAAATAACTAAGAAAGTATTAAGTGCAGGCTTCTAGTGCAACTAAAAATAAAGCTTTAAGTGTATTTAGCAAGTGATTGTAATTTATTCTATTTAAATTAAACTTATAATGAACTTAGTATTTGCTCTGTTTTGAAAGTCTCTTAGGTATAAAGCCTGAATAATGCAACTGCTCTTTAAATTCTTCTTTTACAGTACTATGCTTACTGCTGCATATTGGGGTTCATTGCTTGCTCGGTATTTCTTCAAATGAGCTTCGAGCTCAAAGTTCTCCTCCTGTCCATTGCTGTGACTGTGTACCTCATCATTTTTAATACCCTTCAGCACAGAAACTTGAACTTCTATGGCAACAGTACCAGGTGCAGTGTAAAGTTTCTTATAATTGACAATAATATTTGATTAAAGGAGGTGTTTGTTATATTTTTGTACACTTACTGGAATATTGAAATATCAGTCATGTAAGTCAGACGTTACAAACCTTCCTGTAAAGTTAATGACATGGAAATCATATTAGACCATACAACCTTTTTTTAAAATTTTCTTTTTTTTTTTTTTTAAAGAATGTGTGTTCTGAAAAATTCTGTAGTAAGGCTTCTGAGATCTCTGAAAGCTTAGCTTACATTAAAGACTAGGGGATAGAATATTAATCTCATAATAAAGTTGATCTTCTGTTAAACTATGAAGAAAAGTCTTGCTAAGAGTGATGCTCAAGCTCTGCTTGTGAGACATTGCTAGTCAGTAGGATAGTGAACTCATTTACTTACCTTACTAAATGGACATATTTTGAAAAGTAACAGCAATTTACCTGATTTAATTGAATAAACTATATTTAAAGAGAAATCACTTGGAAGGGTTTTACTTTTCATTTGTAGGTCTTTCTCAGATTCTCAGCATAGTCTTTTAGCTGAAGATTACAATAAATTTATTTTTCAGAGGCTAACTGTGAGCTGTCAGCACAGCTTTTTTTAAAGCTTTTTTAAGCTGTCTAAAGGAGCTCTTAATTTGACCTCTTAATCCCAGGCTATTCATGAGAATTTAGTTTGATGCATTTGTGAACATTAATAGATGTGGTAAGACAGACTGATCTTACTAGGAGATATGAATGGTGTCTCAGATTTGTATGGAACCATATACAGGTGTGATTTAATGGCTTTGTTTTAGCAATTCAGGTTTTTATTTGTTATCATCGTTCTATAAATAAGAAAGTTCCTTTTCCTGCTTCAAGGCTGTGTGTTTGTGGGGCAGTGTGGGGTGCAAAGCTGCAGCTCAGTGTGATGGAAATAAAGATGACTGCATTAAGATAAAGGCGTGTTTACCCGAACATCGCTACAGTAGCTATGTAACAAGGTTTCGGCACCTATTTTGTCATTACATGAAACACAGTTCATGTGCTGAATGGAATGATAATCCTTTCTCATTACTAGGGTAGGACTGATAACCAGGCAGCCACTGGCACAAATGAACAATGGCACTGGTGGTGTATGTCTGAATAAAGACACCCTCTTCTGCTGTGCTCTTCTTCCCCTCCCCGCCCCTGCTCCCCCCCTCCATGCCTTAATCATTTCCATTTTCTTAGAGGATACAGATGACTTGGTATTGCTTTCTCTTTCCAGGCTTTTCATCAGAGAGCCAAGGATAACAACTAATTTGTATCTGGTTCTATTTTACATAACCCTAATTTTACTTGCAAAACAGGTATGTATTTGAAAAGCAATAGGTTAGTTCTTTTACTTGCAGCAAGTTGATTTAAATAAAATGCAAAAGTGTTGTTCATTGAAATTGTGCTCTAAATTTTTATCTGTTTTTTTATATTCTTGTACTTAGTTGTCAGTAATATACTTACTTCTACTTAGTTACAGACAATGCAAAAACGTTCACTGTGAAAAAGTGGGAAAATGTTTATATTTTTCAATAATGTTTGCATTACAGAAGTCAGAACTTTTAAATTCTTCCAGTTTGGATTAATCTGTATTTATATGTCAGTATTTGTTTCAAATCAAGACAGTAGTTCAAGATAAAAATAATCACCATGTTAATAAAATGTCATTTTGGTAAATACACATGATGTTTAAATAGCATTCATTCATGCTGACTGCTTTGTATTTTTCTGACATTCATTCTCAAAACACATCTTAGATAACTATATAGGCTCAAAAGGCCTTGAAGAAACTTTATTGCTACTACACTTAAAATAACTAGTATTTTTCAGTGAGATATTATATGGATTTTATTTATTGTACTTGGTCCCTTTGCAGATTGACTATTACTGTCGACTGGATTGTCTGTGGAAGAATAAGTTTAAAAAAGAACACGAACAGTTTGAAACAATGGAGAATGTTAACAGGCTTTTGCTGGAAAATGTACTTCCAGCACATGTTGCTGCATATTTCATTGGTGAAAAACGAAATGAGGTATGTTTAGTCTCTGCTATGTGAAGGACAGTAAATTAGAATTCTGAGATACAGAATGTCATGCTAACAAGCATACAGAAGATTATAAAGTTCTTCACTCTTTGCATCTTGTTTGTACTCCCAAGACCTCTGTGAAACCAAGAATCTGCTATCCAGATGGCCTAAAAAAAATACACTTTTATTGTCACTCTGTGAAGTCTGTTTTCAGAATTGGTAGTTCGGCTTCAGGACACAGTTTGAGTTTGGCAAATATTTAAAAAGGATATACTGCTTTCCAAAGACCATATTTTACTAGAGAAGATGGGCCTTCTTTTTAAAGAAGTTAGTTGAGGAACAGATAGTATCTCCTTGGTAACAACTTCGTCAGAAGTTAATCGATAATGATTTATCTTTTAAGACATCCATTTTACTCTGCTAGCATGTCATCAGAGTAAATACTGCTGATTTTACACCCATGGTTATTAAGTGTCAAGACTGGCAGTGTCCAGAATAGATGAGAATCTTTAATATACATAGATATCTCAGTTTTTCTTTAGGAAAATCAACTTTGTTAATGTTTCTGATAAAATAAGAGGTGCCCGCTGTAAAGTACTGCAGTTGATTTCACAGGAAAACTAATTTGATTACTGGTTACAAACAATAATCATAGTTTTGAATACCTGTGGTGAAAGGTGACTGCCGATAACATGTGACTATATTGTTTTCCTGTAGGACTGGTACCATCAATCTTACGACTGTGTCTGTGTCATGTTTGCATCGGTACCGGATTTTAAGGTGTTTTATACTGAATGTGATGTCAATAAAGAAGGCCTGGAATGCTTGCGGCTCTTAAATGAAATCATTGCTGATTTTGATGAGGTAATTAAGCTTCTGGCAAAAAGACTGGACTGACTGGATTTACTGCAAAATAAAATGTTTCACTAGATCTTTGAGCATTGGGGGTGGGGGGGTG